AAATAAAATGAAGCTCTGAGGCTAATTAAAAACTTACTGAAAAAGTGTTTCAGTAAATAATCCAGAGGCAATCTAGAAGAATAGATGTATTTGAGGAACGGTAAGACTTGATACAATAAAGCAGACACCAATATGGAAGGTGCTACCCATTTCTTTTGATGCCCAGCTCTGGTCTGACTCATCACCTAAGTTCTGTCCTGTCATTTTAAACAAAATATTTTTTCTAGGATTTTTATGTCGTGTCAACGTCTTCAGTTGTTTCATAATTCCAACAGCCTAATTTTTTTCAATTGGGTTTTTTTTCTTATTTGTGATAAAGAACTTTGGTGACAGTGGGTTTTGGTGGGAATCCAATTTATCTATCAAAAGTGATTTGTAGAGATCTGATCATACATGGTGCAGAATTTCCAGCAAAACGTTATTTATTTATTTATTTATTTATTTATTTATTTATTTATTTACATCGTAGAGTATACCATAATGATCTCAGGGTGGTGCATAGAAAATTCAGTTTAATCCATTTATGCAATATAAAATAGTAAAAAGTAAGTGAAATAGACTAAAAGCATATTTAAAATAGGCATGTTAAAACAAGGCAACTACAACAAATTAAAATGGTTCTGTCTCCCCAAAAATATTTAAGTTGATTATGAAATATTATGCCATTCTCCCTTTTACTTGTGCTGTATCAGGTCGACTTTGATTATTGGTGCCTGTAAATTGGTTGTTAACAGACAGATTGTGTGCAGTTGGGATTATATGGCTTTGATATGTACCTTGGCAGCCTGTTCGTGAAGGCCAAGGCTCTGGAATGACCAAGGCTCTGGAATATAACCAGTGTTATATTAATTATTTGGTTTATTTATTATGTACATTTGTCATCAAATGGCTGTCATTTTTTGTTGTGACTCCCCAGAGGGGAGACGGGACAGGATACAAAAAACGTTGTTGGGACCCAGAGGATGGGGAGGAAATCTGATATGGATTTTTTCACTGCTCAAGCCCTGGGAATTGGGTGGGAGTGCCCTGGGTTTATCTTCCAGTGTATGGCTGTCCAGGGATCAAGCCAATTGTTGGACTACCCACAGACTTAGGCGTTTTACCTAAAGGAAGGCTTAGGAAATTGTCAAAGGTTCTCACCTGGCCTAGACTGGATATACATCTAACATCCACATCAGTTTTGAAGGCCTCATGAATGAGGCCAGTTGGGAACAACACAGGACTAAGTTTCAGGAGTTGGGTGGGTGAAATACTCTGAGAGCTGCCTGGGAAGTAGAAAGCATGGCCAAGCCCTGGCCCAGAGAGAGATGGTGAGGTAGATGCTTCCTGCTCCTTTAGCCAAAGAGACCTGAAGGCCTTGTAGCCCTTCTATAGCTAAGTGGCACTCTTCCTCCAGCTCCAGTTGCCACAGAGCCTCAAGGCCGCCACCAGAGTAAGCTTCTTTGCTCCCTACCTCCTTGTCTGGCCTCTGGGCCTTTTCACACAGTTGGGTTTATGTGCAGAATTCTAACACACCATCAAATGTAATGCATACCTCAATTTTGGTGATATAATTTAGCCAAAAAAAGGTGAACATTTGACTCAAATAAATATGGTATTATGGTATTTTTCTTTACCATTTAAAAATCAAATATGCAAACACTCAGAACTGCACAATTCCTCAAATGGTTCTATTTATCATAGCATGAAGTTTCAGTTCTAGCTTTTAAACCTAAAAAGGAATTTTCCATATTCCAATAGACATGAATGAGAGAATACTGATATAATACTTATTTTAATATTTCATCATTTGCTTGCAGATGCATCATTTATGTGCTATAAGAACATATACAGTCACTGAGGTCACATATGGCCCACCACAGATGCTGAAATACACTTTCCATAAACCTTGACAGTTAGACATGCTGGGTAGAACTGATGATATCTGAAGTGCAATAAAGTCTGGAATGGTACATGTTTCCTTTTCATTTGTTCCATTGGGTAACATTAATTTTTATGTGAGAGATTTGATGAAAAATCCACACATTAACTCATTCGATAATAAGCCTCCATGTTCTGAGTGACACTAATTTTTATGCAAGTAGTCATCAGATTGCATTCTTAAGTAAATTCTTGGATTTTCAGTTGAAGTAAATTGTTAAATTTAAAACTGTTCAACTTTGACAGGATCGCTCTATCTCTTTTGGATTCATCATCCCATATTTGTATACATGTAGTGAAAATCTAATGGCCCATATATAAGTACAAAGTGTCAGAAGATGTAGGATGAATGCATACAACAAATATTTGGGGGGTAAAACGCTAAGGGGGGGAGAGAACAACAAGAAATCAACACAAAATGTTGAGTGTCAAGGAGATGTGTAAACTGGGAGGGGGTGTGTGTGTATATGTGCCTATATATATATATATATATATATATATATATATATATATATAACAATGAAGAAAAGAATACAGTTAGAATTTGTTCATTGACATGAAGGATCAATTAAAGCAATACACAATGTATGTAATTTTTAGATTTGAAAGTTCTCTTAGGCTTAATGATTGTGATTTAGGTTGGGGAGGATTAAATCATAGACATATTTTAAAACTTCTTCTCTGCTCTCCACACAAGGGCAGAATCTTCAAGTGGCGCTCATCCAGTTTTACTCTCTTTCTTTTAGCTATGCATGTGTGTATGCTTAAGGATTTAATGGATCAACTTTGACCCTGTAAAACTTTTCTGTTATTTTATTTTATCTTAATGTTCTTTTCTTTTCATTGACGTGCTCCCAGGGACAAATATGAACAGAACACCCATAGAAATTAGTAGAAATCCCAAGGTTTTAGTATATCTTTGGTTAGGCATACATAAGTATGTACATCATGTTTTGGTGGTAGAAGGGCAAATTTTTAGGGGAAAAATGAGCTAGATAAAGCATCCCCGACACACAATATGTGCTCAATTAAGACTAAGCTTGTTTATGTAATGTGGGTTGCTCACACACATTTTGAAAAAAGAAAGAAAAATATCTATAATACTCCCAAATAGGGTGGATAGTTGTGGTGAGAACTCTGAATAGATTAACTCTACATGCTACCATAGAAGAACCCTCCATATTGTTTTTGGGATTGCTTTGCCTCCTGTTTTGTTTCTAGCATTTTATATTTCTCATTTCTTTCTCCATGACTTCTGTTATTTCTGTATTCTATATACTAACTTCCATAGCTACAAAAGGAATAACACCACCACCAGCAACAATAGTAGGGGAGGTCATATTTGTAGTTGGTAGGTTATGTATTTTATCAAAATTTATAATAAATATAGATTGAAAGTAGTGCTTCTGAATTAGTTTTAAAATAAGCATGCAGGAGAGGATGTCACATTGAGCAGGTTCCAGCACTGGATTTTTGTGGGTAAAACAATGGAATCAGGATCAGGCACTGTCTTCTTCCATCTGCAAGCTCCGCTATGCCCCCCCCCCCCACACACACACACAAAGACCTGCACAGGAGCATAGGAAAATCTGTTGGAAATTGTTTCTGGTCTATTTAAGGATAAAGGAACTGGTGTTGCAGTGCAACTGCAATTTTGGATGAAGGTCAGTTGGATCTACCTTCTGTTGACTAATTCATCTTGCAATATTTGGGTTTTCAGGGTTTGTAACATGGTCATCAAAATAGTCATACAAATGGGATGGATCCAGACTTAGACATACTTAGAGCAGAATTACTGAAATACATGGGACTTGAGTTAGTAGTTATTGATAGACAAATCATTCAATTTAAATTCCATTGATTTTGCCATATTTAATCTATTATAACAGTGATTCAATTTCCATTTAGTTAAATGTTATTTAGAGAAGACTACCCAAAACATTAACTCAGAATGATTGTTAGTTCCTAATTCAGTGACAGAAAGTTGGGACTGAAGCCTTCGCAGCATAAGAAATGAAAACACAAAACTGGACTGGTCAGACTGCCTCCTTAGTGTATCCGTATATGATATCTCCTTTGGCCAAATGTGCAAGGAGGCAGTAGCCTGCAGTCTAGGTACACTACACATTAGATAAAGTGCAACCATTTAAAGCTATAAATCTATTTCATCATGTCAAAAATCAACTATGCCTGTTCTTGTGATTAAGCATGTTATGACAGCCTTTACAGCATTACATATATTAAATTGCTATACAGATTGGTTGCCAGTGAGTAATTGAGCCATCTCAAATGATCTGATTTTGTCAATATTTTAATGATGCTGTGATATTTTTTCCTTACCATAATGAAAGTGCAGGTTACTCTAAATGATATCAAGGTAACAGCTAAGTAAAGGAGAGAGGAAAAGAGGGGGAAAGCTCAACTATGATGCTGTACTCCATTTTGACAGTGCTTTATTTAAACAATTATTGGACAATATTTTAGTAGACAATCAGGTACATTTCCATATGTCCTTATGGGTTGAAATTTGAGCCCACATGAAACTGTGCTACCATATAGAATGGATCCCAATTTGGATTTTTAAAATATAATAACTCAAAGAAAATGTCACAGCAGAAGTTTAAAAAATTGGGACAAAAACTATTGTCCCCATTAAAAAGGGAAATAAATGAGAATATTTTTTTAAAAAAGCTTTTGGAAACACTGTTGTGTCTCTTTATTGAATTTTCAAGTTTCTAGGATTCTTAACAAAATGGCACAAAATCAGTTGAGGCAAATGGAAACCAGAATGTTTACAACTGTATTGAACTTTGCATAAAAGGCACCACACTTTCATTACAGGAAAATATATTATTTGTTTGTTCTCTTTCCTGTTTATCTTTTTTATTTTAATATTTGCCTTTTGTGTAAAAACAACAACACTCCTCTGATACTTTTTTCCTGGTTTTGTGGGAACACAATACTGTTGGCAAGGAACTTATATTAAGTTACTCCGCCATGATAAAAAGAATTGTCAATTGAAATGAACTCTTGCTAGACTGTATTATCTGATATGTGTTTTTGTTTGTTTTCTTAACTAGTGAAAAAGGCCATAGATTTTAAATCTAGAGGATTTAAATTGTTTCCAGGGAAAGACAACAGCAACAAGTTTTCTATCTGTGAGTGTACTCCTTTTTGTTACTTTTTTCTAGTGCAAGAGTGAAGTTTGTGCTGTCTGTGTTGTTGTGTGTGTGTGTGTTTTCAATATTGTTCACATTATCTAAGCATTTAACTGTATTGAATATTACTTCTACAATCTGCATGGTGAATGTCAAAGTGTTGTTGTGCTCTGAAGAGTGACTTTGTACAAAACTGGCATCACTGGAATATCTTTTCCCTAATATTCCACATTATTTAGATAGTTAATGCTCCACATTTAAATTCATAAGCTTTACAAATAAGAAATGCTTATCATTTTCCCCTAAAGGTTGGCTTTTACTGGAAGTTATATTAATTTGAGCACTGATGCAAAGCAATGCCTAAACATTTCTGCTTGGAAGCAAATTCTTCTGATTTTGAAAGGGCTTCTTTTTTTAATTTCTTTAGCATTCCTTCCAGGGTTGATTAAAAAGGTTTATTACATCAGTGCATTACAAGAGCATGACCTCCCACTTGTGTGATAGACAGACAGAGAGAGAGAGAGAGAGAAAGAAAAGGGGGATGCTCAGAGACAGATAGAAACTGCATTTAATAATCCTTCACCAAAAGTTGAAGAAATCCTATTTGATGAAATCTGACTTTATTTTCCAGTTTCCCAATTCATTAGGAAGATGTTTGTAAAACTCCTTGATAAGACAGCCAGAAAGAGTCATTGGCATCATTTTTTAGAATCAAAAACTGTTCAAGAAAATCCAAAGAACAAATTCATCCTTGTTTCTAAGATCAAGAGAAGCATTCTGGTTATGTGGTTATTTGTTTCAAGCCTAGTCTTTTAAATGCATTTTCAAAGAAAAAAATGTAGTTGAAATTAATTTTCTTCACAGATTCCTTAGAAATACGTTAATTGATTCTATTTTTATTTAACATTTCCAAAGGGCCTTTGCACAACGAAATGCCAAAGACATTTATAAGCCTTGAAACAAACAAGCAATCATAAAAAGCAGAAAAAAAACTACAATTGAATTAAAATACATTCCTTGTTTTACCTTTGTTACTATAGTTGTGGAATACAGAGTCTTCAATCCCAATTTAGAAATGAAATTTACCCAAGTGAAGATCCCTGAGAATGCTTTTCAGGGTTGTTTTTGGATGTTGTTGCTAGAGAAGAAGCAGGAAAATGGTATACATCTATACCTCTGTTAATAAAGTAAATGTGTTCTTGGGAAGGCAGGGTTTGTTTTTTTTTTCAAAATAAAGGATATATTACTACTCCACAAAAAGTAGAACTGTTCAGGAGGCTTCAACACACTTTTTAATCCAATACTAACAATATGCACATCTGAAGTGAGACAAGCAGCTCCAATAAGCATTGCATAAGTAAATAAAAACAACCCCAACCTTCAAGAGAAAACATGAATGTCGCTTCCAAAATGTATATGAGGCCACCACCTTTTGCACTTCCTGCTTGCTCAGTAAGGCAGTCTGGAAGCCATTGCTCTTTATGTTACAAATTTGAGACAAGCACAGAAAAAGCCCACTGTATGATTGCATACATATGTGCACACAATTGGAACAATGATGCAAAATGGAGTTTGGGTTAACCCAGTTGATGTTGTTACCATACTACTACTACTACTACTACTACTACTAATAATAATAATAATAATAACACTTTATTTGTACCCCGCTACCAACTCCCCAAGGGACTCAGACCCACATAGATGTAGAGACAGTTGCATCCTTTCCTTTCAAACACATTTCTAAATCACATGACCTATTACTAGGAATGCAGAGAATATGTTCATAAATAATATTTAGATATGTTATCATTCAAACAACCCAAGATTATTAATAGCTGCTTTGAGATTTGTATTTCAGGAAAATAATACAGACCAGTATGCTATTCACCCATTTCCCTCTATAGCTATATTGAGAGTTTTTGCACAAATGGATTTTTCATAAAATGTTCAGGACACCATTACAAGGTGCATAAAACTCCTATAATGATTTTCAGGGGGGAAAAAAGAAAATGTCTGGAAAAAAATCACATCCAAGAAAAAAAACAACATACATCCCTACTTTTCACATCCATCTCTAAATTGCATATATATGGCGCTGATGGTGATGAATTGGCTTTGCCAACCTATTTGCTTTAAATGGGAAAAAGAGTTTGTAAACATTGAATCTCTTTTTATTACCATTAAGTCTCGTATAAAAAGTGGTAATAAAAACAACTTTTAAAAGTGGTATTCATTATAGTAAGAAAGATTTGGAACAAAAAATGGATTTTACCTGCATTCTTTTCTTGTGAGAAATCTCCCTTTTTCCAAGATACTATTTAAAGAACATGGAAGATGATAGGAGAAGGGTGTTCAGCATGGAACGAAAATGGGATCCTTTAAAAAGAGGCATATCTGTCATGCTTGTTAGAGGTTTAAGCAGCTAATTCAAGAACAGAGAATAATCTCAGTGAGGACATTCAAAGATCCAGCTACTGTTACATCTTCTGTGATTCCCATGTTAAACTGGAACTATTGCTCGGGATCCTCATTATATCCTCACTTTTCTGATGTGCCAACATGGTCACCAATCCTCATTCTAAAATAAAATGTCCAATCTATCTATCTCAACATCAGTGAAATGAAAACTTCTCTGTGTGTGCTTACATTATTTAACTAGCAACATTGCAAAAGTGTAAATAGGTTATCTTTTATTCATAGTAATCTTTGATCTACTTCAGCTTGAATCCAGATGGAGAGGATCTGCATATCTATCAGCTTCTGACATCTGAAAAATTCAGAAGAAGAAAAAGCATACATTTTATTTTCTATTAATTAAACTAAGTTGAATATGCAAAACTAACAAGGCTGAGGAAAAGGAAGATTACTTTTAAATACCTCAAGTCCAAATAAAGTTAAATGTTAGCAATGGCTTGCCATTTTTACAGTCACTTTTCAAAGTGTAACTTCTTTTGAAACATTTAAATATGACTGTATGCATTGCATATAATATATGCACTGTTTCTTTTCTTCACTAAGAAAATGAGATATTTCGAGTCTGTGTGGACCTCAGGCAGATTTTATTCAAGCTTATTATCTCCAGCTACAATAAGTATCTTGGAGTAACTTTCTATATTTAGTATGGCAAGAATTTTCCTTGAAAAGTTGCATTCAGTTGTTATCCTACATAGTGCATAAAATGGTTTTAAAATGAAGGAGGCGGGGGAGGGTGTTAGAGAATTATCTTTTGGGAAAAGATTATAATGTTTGAGTCTGTTTCACTGAGATTTAAGGAAATGATAAAATAAATATCTAAAATTATTTACTGTCAAGAGAAACTGCATAAGGATTTCTCTTATTGTATGGGTTTCACACATATACTTCCAATGAGGCTGAATAATGAAAGGTAAATTATTTTCTTGCACAACAGAATTACTGAAATTGAAGAAATCATTACCTAAATACACAATGTCTGTAGGCAAATTCATGGATAAAAAGTCAATAATAATAATAATAATAACAACAACAACAACAACAGCAACTTCTTATATCCCACCACCATCTCTCTGAGTAGCTTATAGATGGCACAAAGTGCCTAAAAACAAACATAAAAGTGAACACAATATAAAATACTACAAAATAAAACACGCACACAATTTAAAAAATATCAATTCAGACTCAAGCTGCAATCCTCTAACTGTGGCGGTATATTACTGTAACCATGACCAGACTGTAAACATTAGGAATAAAATAAATGCCAGCTGCAGTAATGGAGACAGGGCATGGGATAAAATGCAGGATGTGCGACTACTACACAGTAGTGATGATATCACCAATTATTTCTGAAATCAGAGGAAAAATGCCTTTTTATTCATGTAGAAATGTACAAGTGTTCCACTTGACTACTATGGGAACACAGTGGTATACTAAATTCACATACAATTGTATATGTGACAAACAATGACCCAAAGGATCTGGGTTGACATTTATGGTGATACCGCTCTGAAAGCAGTCCATCAAGTCATATTATCCTGTAGAGGAAATCACTCACACACAAAACCACACTCCATATGCTTTGGTGTGGCTCTTTAAATCTTTTGCCAAGATGTAGAGTGTGCAGGGGGTGGTGCAGAACCTCTGTTATAAAATGGACCCATAATGATCTTTCCTTTTTGATTAAGGACAAATAAAGTAGACCTGTTTTTCCTATAAATAAACAACACTGCTTTTTACAGAATCAGATCATTTGGCTTGCCCAGTATTTTCTTCCTGTTAAAATATGCATAGAGTCGAGCAGGGGTCATCCCCAGCCACATTTTAACTGGAGGCATCAGGAATTCAATTTCAATCTTTGATTTTAAAATTTCATACATGCCAACAGTTGCTGTAGGTTACTTTCTCTTTTTGTAGCAGTTTTTATTGCTAATTTGATATATAAAACAAAGTGACTCTGGAATGGGAGAATGTTGTATTTGATATGTGTAATAAATTAAAGAGAGATTTGGGAAAAATGTGCAAGAAATTCCAGAAGATAGGCTATGGAAAAGGGGGAAAAATTATTATCTCCCCTCCATCTCCTCCATCTTCCTCCACATGAACAAGGGAAGGAACTATTCAATACATTGGATATCTAGTTAAAATGTTTTTAGACATGAAATATGAAAAAGCAGATGATTATTTGAGCAATTTACACAGTTTGTTGTAATACAATAACCAAAATTGTTTTAAACTAGGTAAATTTCTATCTAATGCCATTGCTACTAATATCCAGCTCCAATGACTGCTTAGTTTCACCTTTGTTTGGTAGGCCATGTATTTAATACCAAAGACAGCTCCCTAGCTCAGTGTTACTTGGAGTATAAAAGTGGCATAACCTAGAAAATGTAAAATTTAAACTATACCTTCAATATAGCCAGTTTATCCTAATTATATAGGCAAATTGACAAACTGTGCAAACTTCTGAGTAGAAATTTTACTTTAATAAAATGCTCCATATTGACATTATATGTACCCTCCATACT